GCGTTCTCTTGCGCGTCCGCGTCGCGCGCGCACACTGTGAAGATGTGGGAGCCCGGCAGGTTGTTCTCCTTCACGAACACCGTGTACTCGGGCTGCGCGAACACGGGTGCGTTGTCGTTCACGTCGGCCACCTTCATGGACACGGTGGCCGTGGCCCACAGCGAAGGCGAACCCCCGTCCCTGGCTGTCACCACCAACTCATAGCTAGATATGCTCTCGCGGTCCAAGGAAGTGTCTAGCACCAAAGAATAGTAATTCTTGAAAGTAGACACAAGCTTGAAAGGGTCAAGAGGCAAGATGGAGCAGGTCACTTGCCCATTTGTACCTGCGTCTAGGTCAGTCACGCTAATCAGGGCAATAACTGTTCCAACTTCTGCATCCTCTTTAACAGGGAGCCAGAGCTTTTTGACAGTCAACTGTGGAGCATTGTCATTAACATCCAAAACTTCCACAAGAACTGTACAGTGACCAGCCAGAGGCAGAAAGCCTTGGTCAACTGCTTCTACTTGAATTTTGTAGGCTTTACTTTCTTCAAAATCAATCACTCCTATCACTGTAATTTCCCCACTCACGGCATCTATGTGGAACTTGGATTTTATGTCTGGAGGAACATCACTAGAGAATGAGTAAGTAATATCTCCGTTCACGCCCTCGTCCGCATCTGAGGCATTGGCGTGTATTACCAGCGTCCCAGGAGATACATTCTCCAGCAATTTTACGGTGTAAAGTGTCCTGTCAAAAACTGGGGCATTGTCGTTGGCATCCAGGACTGTGATGAGTAACTGAACAGTGCCAGTCAGCTCGGGTTTGCCTCCATCGGTGGCGGTGAGCAATAAATAAATCTCTGGAGCTTCCTCCCTGTCTAAAGGTTTCCGTAAGACAAGTCCAAGAGGCTTTACCTGTTCGTGGTTGGGTGGTATGTCCAGCGAGAAATACTCACTGGGGCTCAGCCTGTATGTCAGCAGAGCATTGGCTCCCACGTCTGCGTCCGATGCGCCCTCTAGTGGAAAGCGAGAGTCAAGCGGCCTGAGTTCCGCAATAAACAGATTCTTTTGTGTCGCTGGGAACACAGGCGGGTTGTCATTAATGTCCTTCACCTCCACCTCCACGTGGAAAACCTGCAGCGGTCTGTCCACGATCACCTCCAGGTGGATGCTGCACTTCGCGCTCCTCCCGCACAGCTCCTCCCGGTCGATCCGAGAATTCACAAACAAAATACCATTCTGCAGATTTATCTCCAGAAGGTCCCTGCGACCCTTTGATTCCAACTGGAATTGGCGCGGCACCAGGTCCTGCAGTTTCAGCTCAAGATCCTGTGCAATGCGGCCCACGAAGGTGCCGTGTTTGGCCTCTTCAGGGACGGAGTAGTGGAGCTGGCCGCTTACCCCTCCCCAGATTGTGAAGACCAGAAACGAAAGCAGTAGATGCTGGCCCTCTGGGACGCTTCCACTTGAGTACATCATTTCAAATACTGGATCTTTCTCTAATTAACACAAATCTCCTCAAAATTAAGAGAAATATCAGATTCTGTCAGCCCCATTTCCTGTGTTCGCCTTCTTCATCACAGAGAGTGAAACAGTATGGAGAAATTTTCTCACGGGAAAAACGGAGCACTTACTCTTCTTGAATCACAGAATACCGTGGTGAAGAGTGACATCACGTGGCCCAAAGAGTAAGTACAAAATCCATGAAAAACCATTGCACCTGTTTCCTGCAAAATTTTATTTTGTTGTCTGATTTTTTTCGTAATTACTCATTGTTCAAATAGGAGACCAGCCATGGTTATGTTGATGGAGGCATTTTTTGCGGAAAGGCTTCCTCAAAGAGTGTTGCATGAACATAGTTGTATCCTTCTCATACCTAAGAAAACCCTTCACTTAATTTTAAAATTCTGACAAAAATGGAGTGACAAAAGCAATCTCTTAAACACAATCACAAACGTTAAATTGGAATATCCTTTTGTTCTGGAATTCAGAATATTTCATGTAACTAGATTTAGGATTCTGGTGTAAGACAACTCCATGAGTCACTATCCCTAATGGGCACAGTAGCCCAGAAATCTACTGATAAAAAAAAATTGCCCCTGTCTTAAAAAAGGAATCAGGGAAAATACATATCTTTTGAAATAGTTTTATTAAGTAATTTGTTGAAGATGTATAAGATATTTTAAGAATAGACTTTAAGATATATGTGATAAAATATTCTACATTTTTCTCTTTATTAGCATTTATACCATCTGCTTCCAGGACTGTGTTGCATTCTCACATGTATGCAGTTTGATTCTTGGCAATCCTTCTCTTTTCTGAATAGTTGTCTTTGTTACAATCCCCAATACAGCTTGTATTACATCTTTTCATAATATATTTCAATTTTCTAATTTTTCATCCTTATATGTAAGGTGATTTTTATTTTAAAGTTACCCTTTATAAACAAACTAATGTTTGTGATTACTTTTCAACCTAGGTTATACTTAAGAAAAGCTCTCCTGTGAGTTCCAGTTTTTCATTTCAAAATACATATAGGTAGACTGATTAAATCAAATTTCAGTCCTTCTTGATTCTAAAGATAAAATCGTGAATGTCTATTTTTTCACTGATGTCTTGTATAATTATCTTTTATTTTGAATTCTTACAAATAAGGGATACTTTTAATTGCTGCTGTCACTGATCACTACATTTATTCCTGATATGTCTTCCCTTTCAATTTCTTGAAACACAATTCTGAATTATTTTGCCCAAAATCTTTTGAAAGCTACAAATTACTTTTGGAAAAAGATCCAAATTCCTTACTCTACCAAAAAACATACTTAGTCTTATGCTCAAAATATGGAGACTTTCTCACATTTTTTCTGCCTTTATTTTATGCAAATAATATATTTTAACCAATGTAAATTGACTCTTCCACATTTCCAGTCACACATGAGGCTCTCTGTGTCCTCACATTTGCTTATGTTTTCCCCTTACCAGTACTACCCATTATTTTCAATATTCTCCTAGTGGAAAGCAACCCATTTACAAACCATGAAAAACACTTTGCCACGCTCCATGGATCTCATGAAAGAGATAAATAGGAAATCATTTTCTTTCAACTCTGACCTTTTGATTCACCTTTTCATGCTCATTATTTGCCTCAAATTTTGAAGTTTCAGGGTGTTTCTTGATAAGTCAGTGATTCCTGACATGAGGACATGCTCTTTGAGGTCTGTTAGGACCCTATTTACTGTTTAAAGTACACTGGTGGACAAAGTCTTCTCTATTATTTTTTCTATTATTATCATTATATAACACTATATAAATTAGTTCCTTCCTTTGCTAGGAGGACTAATAGCTAAATTGATTTTAAATCATATCAATACATTTTGTATTTCTTTTTAAGAAAGAGAAAACATAAAGAATAAAAAAACCAAAGATTTCAAACACATACATAGACCTCTGAAGGCTCTCAGTCAAATTGCAACTATGGAAAAAAGATGCAACTGTCACTATGTGGTCATCTTGACTGTCTTTCATTCATAAATGATAAAGATATTTAAGTATTAATAACATGCTATAAGGATATACAGTTCCAGAAACCTTTCATTTCTTTCATTAAGTTACATTATTCTCGCTAAAGAAATATGCTCAAAATCTGATTAGTATGCAATATAGAGATTGGATACACCTTTACAGGTCCACAAATCTTTTTCCCACAGCTATGGGCTAATCCAACACTCCAAAACTTATAAAAACTGGCTTTTAGATTTCTTGCATTTTATCACATTACATTCAAAATATTGAAGCATTCTCTGTTAAAATGACTTCACAGAAATTTTTTATATAAATAAGATTAATGTGAAAAGCTCTAACTATTCTCTAATACTTTACTTTTCTTGACATTTTAAGAGGCTTTTTTTGGAGATAGGACCTCACTATGTAATCCTGGCTGGCATTGCATACTTACATCCTCCTTCCTCAGCCTTCCAGGCACTTGGATGGCATGTACCATTACAACTAGCCACTTTAGAGCTTCTTGCTGTCATTGATTAACTGTTTTCTGGGGCCAGAGATTTAGCTCAGTGGCTCCTTGGCTGCCTGGCAAGCACAAGGCCCTGAGTTCAATTCCCAGTACTAAAAAAAACCTTTTTTCCTCTTGGAAGTAATAATAAATCCACTTTATTATATCCTTGCCAAGCCTTATTACAATTTATATATATTAACTTACTTGACACAAAAAGTCTATGCAATAGAATTAATTAATCTGCATAAATGTAATGAACTATATGACCAATGCTTCATCAAAGGCTATATACAAACAAAACTTGGTGGATTGAAGAAGTGGTTCAGGAAACTTCCAAACCAACTGAAATTAACAACTAAGCTCTGACACTTTTTCAATTCAGAAGTTGTAAGAAACAGATATTAGCTACAAGCAGTAGCCACATAAAATAATAAAAAGCACTAAATAAAAGAAATAGGTTTAGTTGCTCTTTGTGAAAAGTACACCCCTAAATAAAATTCAAATATTAGAGAGTTAAAAGAGCAGATAATAGAAAGAGTAAAATAACATGTTGTCAAATACGTTGCTAGATGGTAGGAAAAACCCTTACTCTATTTATACCTTTGTAAAATCAATTAAAGGATTTAGGAGGCCAATTCAAAAAACTTATATGTGAGAACCATGGGAAATGAATGAATAGGAAATATAAGAGTAAGATCACACAAAGAAAAAGCTATACATTCTATTTAAATAGTATAATGAATGTAAGCCCTCAAAAAAGATAAAAATCCTTGACATTAATGATTCATGTTATAGGGCCAGGGATTTAGCTCAGTAGTTCTGCTGCCTGCCTCGCAAGTGCAAGATACCAAGATCGATCCCTGGTACCAAAAATAAGTGATTCATGTTATAATATTTTTAATAGCCAAATAAAATGTTAGGCATAATGAGAAATGTAAAATCAATCACAAAATAATCTCACTGTTGGATTCCTTTCAATTTGGCAAACGTGACAAACTGTGATCATAAATGATTATACTACTGGTTCATAAATGATAAGCAAATTAAGAACTATGTTAATAACACTACAAAAATTCAGAATTCCAGAAGCCTTTCATTCCCGTCCAATAAATTCCAACATTCTCTCCAATACAATATGTTTAATATGCAATGGGTATTTAATATCGAAACAGGTCAAATAGCCTCAAGAAGCAAAGGGAAAAAGATAAAATGAAATAAAATAATTTTTTAAAACCTGGCAAACTACAAGAAGAGGAACCTGGAATTTTAAAGGTTTACTCCATAATACTAAATATTTTTTCAAAAACTAATGAGTCCTCATCA